GTAAGTTCGTTTCATTACAGTTCCGATAGAGGTAGTTTTACTGCATCGGGACGCTTCTATCAATGCAAATAACGTTTGTCGGATTTTTGCCGGTCCTGTCAAGTGAGCACATGGGGGTAATTGCACGTAAATCTCACATTAATCCGTTTTCAGGCACTCGGAGTTTTTGGACTTTGCCAATTGTTCGCCTTCGCTCAGTACATCAAGTCCAAAACGACTCAAGAACAGTTTTATCAGCTACTTCGTCTTTCAGTTTCTACCATAGGATTCGCTGTATGCATCGCAACAACGGCGTTGTACTTTTCAGGTAAAAATCCCCAATGTGAACACTGTTTACACGTATGCACATGTATTCAGCATCTTGAAAATGCAATTAACGCCCAGCTGAATTGTAGACTGCTTTGCTTTGTATTCTCTAGACCCATCGGTAATTTTGGCTCCATTATGAGCGGAATGGGAACTAGCTAGTTGAAGTAAAAATCGTTAATTGCTTTTCGGTCTGAGTAATTGAGTGCTTTCAGTTTATCGTTTCCCCTTAAACCCACAATATAGCCCATGGTCTTTTTGCATATCGCCCTCCAATGCTAGTAGTTTCCGGTTTTTTGATTTGAACACATTTCAGTTAATTTACCCTAACTTGGGCGATGTTTTTGGGGCTTAGAAATGTCTACTGTGGTACTTGTAGTCTTCCCCTCACTTTTATCTGCATTAAGTAATTTGGTTTTCTGGAATGAGTCGAATGCATCCTACTGTTTTTACGGTGGGTGGGTCCATGTCACTCCTGTTAACTCGTCATTTAGTCTTTTGGTTTAACTGTCGGTTTCCTCCGTAAAGTGTTGCTCATCTTACTTGGAGGTGTTTTCGCCCATATTATCCACAAAAAGATTGTCTTTACATGTTCTTTAGGGTTCTTCTATGAGTTTTTGATGTCAGCTATCCAAATATTATACGTAGGTAGCCGTTTATTTGAGTGACTTGAGCCACTTTGACATTGTTATTTATTTTACACGGCACTTTATATCCGTCAGCGTATATCATAATGTATTCCTCAAAATAATGCTGTGAGGAAAGGATTAATAACCTTGAGCTGACACCCATTAAAAGTGCAGACTTGCCAATTTTGTTGTTTCCGTCTGTTACCCGGATTTTTTATAGCGCGTGCATGCGCCGTTATTTGATTGGACTTGCAAGTTTATGACTACCGGTCGGTTACCGTGGCTCAATGTCTCCGAGAACTGTAACCCTTTAAATCATGCTTGTCTACCTGCCACCACAGATCTCGAAACGCCTCATCGGTGGTTGAAACCACAACATTTGTTCGAATGGTCTGTTTTCTGTTGGATCATTCGATGTTGAAAGGTACACTTTACTCATTTCACTATAATGACACCTAAGCAGATCGAGCGACGTTCCTCTTCGTTGACACTCAAACCCCTTAGTGCAACGAAGGCACGTTTCTTATTTGCCAAGTAGCACTAACCAGCATAATACTTTAGCTGTTGCTGCTAGTAGGTGTTGATCAGCAGTATTGTGATCAACGTACACCGGGAAAGCACTGACCTTAGTGTCTGATTGGGTGGCTGTGATCGGGAATAACATCGTAAACGACTCTGACCACAGCCCATTTAGAAGCCAGTCTTGCGCTTGTCTTTTATTAACCTAGTTAAACATATGGTCATTCGGCTTTTCGTTTTTCGATTATTTTCGCTATTTCCGCCCCTAGCGTTTTTGCCAACTTTTGTCTTTACCAGGCAAAATCGCGCCATGGACTGGAAGATTCTACTCTTTGCTTGACCCAAGTTATGCCAAAAATTATCTGCCAATCATCGCATCCGTCTCCGAACACCAACCTACCGCGTGGAGTTCCTACTTCTTCGACCTTCACGCCATGACCATCTTCTTCCCGGGTATGTCTTTCGTGCTTAAACTTTTTGGCCTTTGCTTTTTCTTCCATTTAATCAGGAGAACTGCATCTATTCAACTCATCAGTTCTCATGATTATTAAGTAGGCCCCGTCATTCCCCTTCATCCGCGTCGTTATTCTTCCTTTCTGATTCCGAGGCTTGAACTGGTTTTTTTCACTGTTTTTTGCTTTCGAGTTAAACAATGCGAGGTCAAGTCAGTGCAGTGCGATCCTGTTTTCTTTTTCAGTGGGTCTCTACTATTGTTTCAAAAAACTCACCGATGCCTCCATCTTCCTCGTTATGTATGGGATGCTCAGCCTTTATTTCTCTGTAAGTCCAACTTATTCTATGCTATAGGTCAATTTCCTTCACTACGATTATGTCTTTATTCCTGTAGCGCGTAATTGGTTGGTTCAGGGCTTATTGACCACTCTCACAACTTGCTTAAACGCCGCATCTTGCCTCGTCTAAAAAAGGGGTCTTATATCATTACCATTGCACACTCAGTGGTAGGCTGCTTCCTGGCCGCTACACTCCATAATTTTACCATCCAATTCTTATTTATTTTTTAGGGCGTCATGGTCCGACTTATGCTCGTACTGGCCCCTATCATGTGCATCATATCGGGCATTGCCGTCTCCAACATTTTTCGAACATTCATTCCAAACCTTGATGACTCCAAGTCCACCTCGACGGATAACTCTATCCAAAAACGGATACCCACATCTGCAAAGTCCTCAAAGGCCGTTTCTGATCCTACCTACCCCTTTAAGAGTCAAGTAAGCCATGCTACCAATTCGGCTGTTCTCACAGTTTCCCTTGCCGATGCGATAACCGTGGAGTTATTTTGATTTGCGAGTGTGATTTTTAACTAGCTTTCGTACGAGAGCAGTTTCCCGCACATAAAACGGCTGCCAAGGATGTTTAGGAAGATCTCTGGTGGGTTCCAACTAAAGACGCTTATGTTTGGAAAGAAAAACGTAATTACCAGGTAACTACATGTAAAGCTTACCTTATTAACTGAAGACGCTGGCCACTCCACAATTAGCATACTGCTACCTCATGCGTGATTCCGGATAATGTTTTGCTGACACCTTTAGTGATTTAAGTTCTTGCCCCAACTTTTTCATCGGTTTGGGCGAAAACTTGTAGTTTGTCCGCCGCTCTGTATGCCTTAGGATAAGGCGACAAAGAAGCCTGTGCATTAAGTGAACTTAAAATACTGCTAGACTGTTCTGCGATATGTCCATTGGATGCACAAAACCACCTCTATTACCGCCTTTATATTGATTGTAAAGCTTGCCGCTGTGTGAGAAATATCTCATCGGAACGCCCAGTAGGCAGTTTGCTTGACGATCGTCTGGCACTCATGTGATTTTTGCATTATCTGTTGGCTGTTTTTATCCAGCGACATCTATATACAGTAGGTGGGCTAACTCGTGAAATGTCAACCGAAATTCCGAAATGCGTTTTCGTTTCGAAAAGATTAATTAAGTAGGCTTGTAAAACTAGTCAGCCTGCAACGTAATTCTGTAATATTTCAGTTACGTCAGGATGCGGGCTTTCGAGTAAACGTCCTTCCGGCTGCATTCAAAAACTACACTAAAAAACGACTACTTAAGTAGCATGAATTTTTCGCATGGATTATCGATGCTCCTAAAAGTCCAATTATATTTCATGGAAAAAACGCATTCAAATATTCATTCTTTTCTCATTCGGTAGAAAATTGCGTCCTCTTCTAATTTTATACTCGAAGAAGGGACATTATTCGGTTTTAAAAGTTTCTAATTGTGACATGGCCGTTCACAAATCGTCATGTCTCTGCATTTACCAATGTTGCTTGTAAAGTTAACAATATGGATCAAAATCACTGTTAAATTTAATGAACCCTATATGGTCCCCCCTTCCTTCCGTAGAGAAATGTGTGGTTCTCCGTACGCGGAAAATGTACGGCTTGTAGTTTGGAAACCCTGAATCCAAGTGTAACAGTAGAGCGGGTTCAAAATTATTCGGGAATTGGAAAAGTTTTTGAAAACCGACTTATACCTTTCCTTCGAGTATAAGATTGGAAGAAGACGTAATTTTCTACCGAATGAGCAAAAGAATGAATATTTGATGCGTGTTGTCCACGAACTATAATTGGACATTTAGGGGCATTGAAAATCAATGAGAAAAATCCATGCTACTTAAGTAGTTGTTTTTTACAGAGTGTAGTTTTTGCATGCAGCCGAAGGACGCTCATTCGAAAGCCAGCATCCTGACGTAACTGAAATATTATAGAATTAATTTGCAGGCTGACTAGTTTTACAACCCTACTTAAGTAATCTTTCGAAACGAAAACGCATTTCGGAATTTCCGTTGAAATTTCATGAGTTAGTCCACTTGTTGTACGTATATTACGGTACCCGGCAGGTCGTTGCTTTGCAGCATGTCAATCACCAGTATAACCCTGCTTATCAGGACTGAGGGCCAGACTCTGAGAGCTATTTAACACGACCTCAGGGAAGCTTACAGATTCGATACTCAAATGAAGTCGACTGTCTGACGGTTGAGGAATCAGTACCTGTGTGGCACGCGTACAAGGCGGCGAGTGCTCGGTTAGCCACTGATCCTGAGCCCATCTCAAGTCGTTTTTGATCTTGTTTCGCAGTTGGAGCATGGTGAGTAAGGAACGGGAAGGGGTGAAGTCATTATTATGAAAGCGTCCCTCACGCATATCCAACTCACGCGCGAGTCGCCGCGGTTTTCTCGGCATAATGGTTTTCCCTGCCGAGTTCAGTTGACAAACTATCGCCTGAGAATTTCTGTCCCCTGAAATGGAGCCTCTTGGAGAGTCAGACCTGTATCGCAGCTAGGGAACTGGTGGACATATCTGCTTTAGTCAGGGGTAGGCTACATGAAAATTAACGCCATGCTAGGACATGCGTAGATCAGGACAAATGACTTAGTCGGTTTCATCTACTCTGACCTTCGAGACTTCGACTCAACTTTCCAATATAAAGAAAACCGAATGGGCCATGCATATGAAGTGGGAACAACACAAGGAAGCTCATCCTCGTACTTCAACTCATGTTCTGGCCATATTTATCACGGGAAATGCACCTCGTTTAGTAAGATGGGCAGTCTACCGGTAGAAGTTGGAATAATACGCAATTTGTCATAGCCGAAAGTCACATTCCGTTATAATCATTGTTATCACTCAGCTTGGTTCGCTGACTCTTTGCTCCCCATCTGATGGTAGTCAGACATCATATAATGCCTTCGCGTGTCGCCCGTTTTCCCCGGACGAAAGCCGTCGTTTTTCCCGGCAGGCCGATCTAATCCTATGCAACCGACGAAGAACTTCCAGGATCTCCTCTTAAGCCTCGACAACTGTTGTCGAGAAGCCTCACCTCCTCACTGACCTTCGGAATGGCCTGTCTTCTCAGCCGCAACCAAAATCATATGAAGCTTGAAGGCATCTCATTTTCCCTAAACAGGTGAAATGGGATGCGGACTGCGGAACACATCCTTAAGTAAATTCTGAATGTTTGGTTGCATTTTTGTACAAAGCGATGCACATGACCCTTTCAAATATTGCTCGATTTTACACTGAATCACTGCCTATTTTTTGAGCATAAATGATTTACTGATGCATCTTCAGTCACACACTTAACCCGAATCAACCCACTTCTGTTTACTACCTCAAGTCACGTTCTTACCCTGCCTCTATTTCCTTAGGTTGCCTACCTCGTCGTTTTTGCCGTCGTTCTTACCCTTGCAATCTACAGTCAACACTGCGTTTGGGTCACATCGAACGCGTACTCCTCGCCAAGTATAGTCATGTCCGCCCAGCGCCCAGATGGGTCTCACGTGCTGTTTGATGATTACAGAGAAGCGTACTACTGGCTTCGCCAGAACACCCCTCCGGTACGTCTGGTTTCTGGTCGCCTTCAGAGAGTTGCAATTATTTTTAATTTGTTGTAGCTGTGCGATTGCCTGGGAGAGCTCTAGATCCGGAGTTCTAAGGCAAGACTTTGCAATATGAATAGAGAGGTGAATGTAACATCTGCATGACTTTGAATATGCCCACTCTTACCCGACAGGGCGTGAACCCTGGTTCGATGGTAGGTCGTTTGCTTTGACAGTGACTGGTTAACAACTAACTCGGATTCTAACCAGGGGTTTCCGTCTGGGGGTTAGGATATGGCTAGCTAGTGACGACATACGGGTCAAAAACAACCTCCCCCTCTCGCCTCAACACCTTTAAATTATTCATTTTGACCCAAATATGAAAAACTCGGAGACCTCGGTGGGACTTAAACCCACGACAGCAAGGGGAAGGCCTTAGTACAGCCAACGCTCTAGCCACCTGAGCCACGAGGTCCCACCGGAAGATGCGTTTAATCACATTTGGGCCAAGTTAGATTATTTAGAACGTTTTACTGTCTGAGAATATACATTTTAAATTAATAACTAATAAGATAACAAATAACCGATTAGCACAACCCTCCTTGCTTTTGTTGCAGAATGCGAAAATTATGTCCTGGTGGGATTATGGCTACCAGATAACTGCGATTGCCAATCGTACCGTCCTGGTAGACAACAACACCTGGAATAACACGCACATCGGACGTGTTGGCCAGGCAATGGCCTCGAGTGAGGACGATGCATACGAAATTCTGCAGGAGCTGGATGTCGACTACATCCTTGTCATTTTTGGTGGTGCCTCATCGTACTCCTCTGACGGTAAGTAACTCTGCACTCTTGCTCACCGGACCCGAATGTTTTGAGGGGTTGTGTCCATGTAGAAACTCTGGAAGAACTCATTGCTTGTATTTGGTCAGAATGAGTTAATGAATCATCTCTGTTTGCCTCGTATCAGCAAACGATTAACGTGAGTTACCGTCATCACAACAGACAGACTGTAACAGACCCATCGGACAGTCTGTGAGGTCAACAACCATAAAATTTATCGCGGCAGATAATGGAAAGTAGGAACCTTATACAGCCAGAGACTGTATCACCTGACGAGATGTAAATGCTCCGGAAAACCTACCAACCGAGCAATAGTAAATACGTTTGCCAATCATGCAAATTGATATATGTTTCTTGCCTCCTGACTCACAAAGCGAATCTGTTATAGTTTGCGAAAAATATTTTCATCGGTCTTCGTACCGTCTGGCTACACATCGTCTGTCTGTATAAGTTCACTACTTTTCACAATCTGCAGTAAGAATTGTTCTTATCATGACCCTGCCTTGTGTGTTTGTGGGGAAACTCCACGGCACCGTTGCTGCTGCCCGGCCACAGAAATGTCCCTACAAAGCTCACAGAATGTCCAGACTAGACGCTAATCTCTTTAAATGTGAGGAAGTTTGTGCATACGAATATATTAGAAGACCAATTGGCCGCTCAAAGGAGGACTACCACTGTCTTGAAAAGAGCACAGTGTGGATTGCGTTCAAATTTGTTTGCAGCGGAACAGACCTCTTTTCAGTCCTTCCATGCCGACAGTGCTCGGATGAAAGACAGGATAGGGCGGCGGCGCAGCGGTTTACAAGCTTAAACAGCCTGTGCGTGCGTACCACATTGGCTTTGATCCCTAAATCCACACGAACCGAACGTCAAAAGGGGGCTGTGCAGCACGTCTCTCAATCCAAAAAAGCACCGAGTTCACTTGTTAGTCGGGAACCTTCCAGACCCTGATTGATGGCGCGCCGTTGTAGGTTAAAAAGGCCATTGTTTATTTATGGTGAGTAACGTAGGCGCTTGATCATCTCTTGATGACCTCGCTCTCTCGCTCTCTCCACTCTTCCACATCAGCGATAAATCCGAGCCAAACCGACTGACGGTAAGATAATGAAGTACCACAAGCTCTCTCTGACGGATGCTGTACGCACCACCACTTTGGCCACCGCCACTACGACTGCTACTCATAATATTATTGCTGCTGCTGCTACTATTACCACAACTACTACCGTACCATGATGGGCGGCTTGCAGAGTGCAGCAACTGACGTCTGTAACGTAGTTCCACGTAATGTCTACAAGAAAGACTGACCGTCAGTACATACTATCCTACTACATGTTTCGGTTTTCAGCCATTCCACTAACCTTTTTTTTACTTCAGACATTAACAAATTCCTTTGGATGGTGCGCATTGCTGGTAGTACGGAAAAGGGGAGGCATATTCGTGAGCATGACTACCTCAGCAGAGCTGGTGTCTATCGTGTGGACAAGGAGGGCTCGCCAACTTTCCTCAACTGCCTTCTCTACAAACTAAGCTATTATCGTTTCTGGGAGAAGTACACTGCACCGCGTGAGTCAGTTCTCCCTGCACTTCAGGGGGCGGGGGAGATTATGTATTTTCTCTTCATTAAAAGAAACATTTCAGCCAAATCTGTACGAGACCGCTCATCTGCAATAATTGAAATTTTTTATCCCCCCTGCATAGACCGACCGCCAGGCTATGATCGAGTTCGTGAGGCGGACATTGGCAATCGGGACTATGAACTGAAGACGGTGGAAGAGGCTTTCACCTCAGAGAACTGGATTGTCCGCATCTATCGCGTAAAAAAGCCCCTTAATCGGGGCCTGGCGTGAGTTTTGGCAAGACTTGCTGTTGGCTCCTTCGGCGCCACCGTTTCACTTTATTTTTCCTGACTCCTTGAATCCCAGCAGTAGAATGGACGCCATGGTGTCCCATTCTAAATGCGCGTTTCTTCGCCAACTTGCATGTCACTTGTAGGCTTTTTCTGCCTATTTTTAGACCCGTTTGATGGTTCCTGGCGGTAGTACTTTTTTAACTTTTGTAAAGATGGTTTTAAGCTACATTACAAAAGATGTTGCTTTGTCTCCTCTTCCCTCTTTATGGAAATACGGATGGGACAATTCCGGACTCAAAAAATCATTGTCTTTAGATGGGAATAGCTGGCCGATTACACATCTAACCTTGGAAGCTATCAAGTGATTTCATAAGTTTCGGATCACTTGTGGGAGTACTGTGCGTTCCATTTGGTCGCAAACTTCTGGACAACGCCTGCAGTTCTCGCACAGTGCAAAGTTGTGTATGTGATGAAACTCTTCTCGCCATATCCTAATTTAAATAAGACGGAAGGAGCCGTTAACCACATGCATCGGGGTCTGCGAGGCGAGAGATTGGGAGCACTACTGAAAGATCAGATTGTGACTGAAGTGGGCGGTTCCTGCCACATTTACAAAATCCACTCCAGGCCATGAGGTCTTAGGAGTGGAGCGCTAGTGCAGTTTGCCACAGAGCCCAGCGCTAGGCTAGTTGGGCTACGCACTCCTGCTCTGTCGGTTGCGATCTGTAATGTCAAAACTCGATTTGGGGTGATGCCTAGCGATTTATTACGATTGCGGAGTGGCGTGCAGCGTTCCGCTCTGCCCTGGAGCCCCCACATAGCAAACAGCTGTCACGAAGTATCACCGAGAAAAGGCAGAGCGGCCTCACCGATTAATTGTCTTCGGCCAGGCAAAAATCTCCGGCCGGGTGGGCCTATGTGTGCGCCTCGTAGTCAGATAACGGTGAGATTGAACGCCCTACTCAACAGATTAGATGAAGATACATGCCTTTCGACGACCGTCATTTATTGAGCGTACGGACTTGCTAACCGCTTATTTTTTTGCTCTCAGTTGGTTTATGCCGATAGGAAAGAAGTATTTCACTATAGCAAGGACAATCGGCTAGATCCTCCTGATAGTTTCCTAGTTCCATACTATTGTCCCGAGGGGGCTCATTGTTTTTACTGAAAAGGGAGTGGTATTCAAACAAAGTTATCACTGAACGTGAGTAATCAAGACTTCAAATGAAATAAATAGAATTTGTCGGAGATCTTAATCGCTTAGATGCTCAGTTTGTCTATCGGACAAGAAAGTTAGATAGAGGACCTCCACCAAAATGCCCTTTCACGTGATGTTGGCTTAAGTGCCCCGTGGAGCTGCGTTCGAGTGCTCGCTGTGTCTGCCTGGTTAACTGATGTATGCTCACATCTAATTGACTTATACGAATTTGTATTCTGCCACTAATCTCATTGGAAATAGCCCTGTGGCTGGGAATATGCGCACATAGACCGCCGCCCCAGAGCTCCTTCCACTGGCAGGGTTTGCATCGGCTGTTTTTACTGGAAGTGGGACTATGGTTGTCCTAAGGTGCCGACAAACCTGAAACTGCCGCTGCTGCTACTGCCTCACTTTCTCGCCTTTGTCAGATAATTCCTACGAATAAAGCCATCTAGCTTGAAATGTGGCAAAACTCCGTAAGTAGCTTAGAAAGATAACTCCGCACGACAATGAGTGTTTGTACGGTCATTTCACTTCAAGGAATTTGCAGTCTTCTGTCAAATTCTTCTCCTATAGTTGAGGGCGCACGATTGAAACTAATCTTCCAGACTGGGTGTCACGCAAACGCACCGAATATGCATTCGTTGTCCTCGGCGGTAGGCCCGACGGTCTTCACGCCTCTTTAGTCTGTAAGCTACCAATGCAGAAAGTGGCATAACATTGTCAAGTCTTGGAGGTTAATTCGGTGGCGTGCTTTTAAACAAACTAGACAAATGCTAGCGGCATGACGACGGCTGACTCCTTTGTCTACGTCCTGTCTTCCAACTCTAGCGCTAGACACAATGGGACCCCCATTCGGCCGGTTTGACGTTATCTGACCTGCTTGACGCAAAAGCACCGCCTCTGTTGATGTCTACTCATCCCGATATCCACATTTGCCGTGAAGGAGAGCCCATTATTTTGACCAGAAGGGAATCCAAATTGACAATAAACAAGTCGGTGACGAGAAGTTAGGCAGGCTGCATTATTCCGGCTAAGGTAGTAGTGCAGAGAAACCATTGCGATTGAAAATTCCAGTCCTGTATAGGACGAAAGTCACGAAGTCAGAAGGAGTCCATCCTGGGCAGATGCCGGATGACGATTTCGATCCGCTACGGACAGCATGTTCTGTATCTGCACGTACGCCTCCGCCAGAGTGATGTGGGAGCGGATTACCAGGTGTGGGCCTCACGTAAGACAACCGGTGTCAGTTTGGTGGATTGATGGGATGGCTCTTGTGTTTGTGGACGTCTGAGGTTATCTGTCCTCTAGGTTAGATGTGAGCATATCCCGTCCACCCGAAAGGACTGGTCACGTGAATCCTAGTGTGACGCGTGTCAGATTCCTAAGGCGTATGGGCGATTATCCTTCCTAGATAAATAATTGCAGTTCATAAATCAATTAGGGACAATTCAGAATGCCAGTTCCGACTGGTAGTTACTGTTTTATGTATTATGGGGTATTCCGACGAATGTCGTATGCTGCTCATCCATTGGAAAATGTAATCGAATGCCTGGGTGTCACTCCTACGTGGTGGACTTGTGGCCAATTCTCATCGTTGCGTCGCCTCTGCCTAAGGACTGCTCTTGTTGATCTAAGCGCTTACATTCGTGTTTGGCCTTGCGCGGTTGGCCGCTTGGGTGTTTTGTGTCTGCAAGCTGATAGAGGTCCCCAGGTTTAGGTGGACGACTATGCCTGTTGAGGATTTGATATGTTCAGAGCGGGTCGCACTTTAGTCGCCAGCATACCAAACTCCATCAAGATTTCAGGATATGGCAGATTCTCAAAGCCATCAACTATTTTGTATTTCCTCATCCGGAACGTCCAAGCTGTTATGCCGTATTTCATGTAGCATCTAACGAACGTTCGGCAGATCTGCGCGAATAGTTCGGCGGGAGTACAGTGAGAGTGCGTCCAGTATAGTGCATGGTGTTGAATATCTAGTAGACCAGGTTTTTTCTGTTCGGTGATGGCATCAACTTTGCTATAATTCAAAGGACGGGACAAGGTGCCCGTGGCTCAGTGGTTAGAGGCGTTGAACTTCTAACCAACAGGTCGCGGGATCGAGGCCCAAGTGCTCCACACTTTGCGGTTGGGTATAACTGGCTGACGACGGCTAATTAGCCAGAAATGACCATTCCAGTCTCTCCTGTTTTTGCCGGCAATGCTGTTCCGCCTATATTATGCGCCGTTGTGCGACTGCTGATTGGGATCAAGCGAGAGCCCATAAGGCACAACGGGACGAGTGAGTTCTGTAACACGATCGATGAGCGTCCGTCTATCCGAGTGTCATTCTGTTCTGTACAACATGCGTGGGGGCATCGGACCCCCGCCTCTCTATTGCTTCCCCTACCTGTTGCGACTTCTCTTACATCAGCGAACATTCCCACATTGACCGTTCGATCGCTGTAAGCGACGACCTTCAGAGTGTGCCCCACAGGATGGGCACAGCAACGGTGACATGGGAGTGAATTGGTATAAAATGAGACAGACTTGCGCGACACCTAGCGCACGCCCCCCCCCCCCCCACCTCAACTCCCTTGATTCGATTACAGGGTGACGCCAAGTCGGCCGGAGGTGGGCGGGGGCGTAGTGACTCACGAAGTCAAACAGCCCATCTGCGCGTGCCGCACACAGGACCTAGTCCACGTCACATGTACCAGGTCTCTGGGGGGGGACGGTTCGGATGTCAAATCAGCGAGAGTGCCATAAAGACCACATTAAGGAGCCAGTACAGCCTGTCTTCTCAGGCTTTCAGTCACTTCAAAGGACAGTCGTGAGAATCGAGTTATCCCGTCAGTTGGCAAACTCCCAAGTCACGATTCTTAGGACGCCGTGAAAGTATTAAGCAAATCAGATTTATTTTAGCGATGAATGTACTGATGTGTCGTGAGATTCTGGCAGGATGTAGGTGCGTGAGTAGTTGAATTATTTCAGTAAATGATATGTTCTGTGTAGATTATTAATACACACGACGGCAGTCAAACTAGCAAACAGCGTGCCGCACGCTGGATGACATCACTGCACTGAAACAGTATGCTTGGCAAGAAACCGCAGCTCTCTGAACCAGGCGCGCCTACACCGCCATGTTTCGGCGAGCCAGACCATCTGATCAGTCGGCTTGTCGCTAATTTCGTACTTGATTCTGCGTCGGAGCTCTCACGCAGGCGTCTACACAGACACGTTGGTTAGACCGTCTCAATCACCGAGATCCACCACTGGTCCACGAGGCGGACGTCGCCGCGGACTGCACGCGAATCTGTTAATAGTGGGGCATACTTCTAATGTATCAATCTCACTCTCCCCACATCACACCAAACGAGTTCCGGTGGAAAGTTAAAGTCAAGAAGACCGGAGGTGGGCATAGAGACAGTGATTAACAGAGTTGTATAGCCTATTTTCGCATGCCACACAGCTTGGCCCCTAACTATACAGCACCAGACTTCATTCAGGAGATACCTCGGCTATCATGTAAGTGAAAGTGATACAAACGCATCAGCCAATGATCACTGGAGAACGACTCTCAGTCCCGAAAGGGCTTAATCAGTCCGTTATTTGAAAACCTTCCAAGGCAAGTCTCTGGCGCCTCGTGAGAGCGTCAAGAGTGTTGTATACTCTATAATGACGAAGACGCTGAATTTTTACGAGGTGGAGTAGCACAGGACTTTCTTCGCCCACTCTTCTCTCCAGCATACATCTGAGCATATTGAAGGCTTCAGCGAATTAACACCGTGGTTGGCGTAGCGTGCAGAATTGCCTACACGTACCACGCACGTCCTGACCACCCACCCAGATAGTCCGAACTTCGATAAAAGCACAGTTTCCACAGAGATGAAGCGTAAACATCCTCGCATGTGACGTTTAGCCTGCCATAACGACGTTGCGAATTCTACCTCATGGTTTTTTTTATGCTCGATGTGTGATGTTTTGGTGATAG